CTTCATCTCAATCCCAGGTTTTATCTTCTTCCCTTATCCTGCATGTGCAATAACTGCTACCTGACAAACTGCAAATAAGCAGCATCACTCAAGTTTCAAGTTTCACCTCTCTTCTGCAAACTGCCCCCTTGGCAAGTGTATCCAGCAGGAGGTGAAATGGCTAGAGCACTGAGTTGAGACTTCTGTATTACTCTTGTCAAGTTACTTGCCTGTTTGGGCTCCTTTATCCCCCATGCATAAAAAGTGAAGAAGCAGAGTGGGAAGGGAGCTCTACCAGCTCTTCAGCTCTAGCATTCTATGACTTTTTAAGGCAATGTAATACAGCTCAAGTCAGGCAATACAGAAAGGAAAAGGCAGAGGATGTGATTAATCTATGGTAACAACACCACCTTCACATATCTAGGAGTCACTGGTAAAAGACATTCCAATCTTACAGAGAAAATGTTAGAATAATTTCTGTCTAGCACTGTCACAAATAGGTTCAGGGTCAGCCTAAGCATGTGCACTGTACATTGTATTGGTGATTTGGAAAGATCTGTTCGATTATTTTTCAGAAACTCAATTTTCAATCAAATAAAATGATATGCAGACAATTCAAATAAATAGGAAGAAACAATTTATTGTACAATAGCATAAAAGATACTATTAAATGGCAATACTTTTTTAAACCACAGATTTGTAATATATTTGTTCACTGTGCAGAGGGATTGTACCTTGTACAAAATAAAGTTAATTTCTCACACTAATTTAACAAGAATGCCTACTGTGGTGTTGCAAATTGAAAATGTGTCTATAATCTATACTTTGGTTTAAGGGCAGAACTAACCTACATTTTATGTGGTCACTTTATGTACCTGGAAGAGTGAAAATTATTTCAATAGATGCTTGAAAATAAAGTAAGGTTGTTTAAACAAGGGAGTCTCTACATTTAAAGTAATGAATAGAAGCAATATATTCTTATGTCAAAAATAAGTTAAAATCTTATACACATCATAGTAGAGGGTTTCTCTGCTTTTCCAAATATTTGTACTCAAAGACAACAATCACGTTTTGTGCTCAGCACCAGAGGCACAGGGGAACTTCTATGGAATAGAATAAGGGCAAGGTTATGGGCTACCTAATTTATATAAATTCAATAAAAAGGTTTCCACTGGTAGAAGTGATCATCCAGTTCAGTTACTCTGAGTGCATCTGTTTTAGGAACTTTAAAAAAAAAAGCTTTCTGGAGGCTGGGGTTGTGGCTCAGAGGTAGAGCGCTCAACCAGCACATGGTAGGCGTTGGGTTTGATCCTCAGCACCACATAAAAATAAATAAATAAAATAAAGGTATTGTGGGGCTGGGATTGTTGCTCAGTGGTAGAGCACTCGCCTAGGGCGTGCGAGGCCCTGGGTTCTATTCTCAGCACCACATAAAAAATAAAGTTATTGACAACTACAACTAAAAAATAAATAAAATAAAATAAAGGTATTGTATCCAACTAAAACTAGATTAATTTTATAATAAAATACAGATGCTAAAAAATAGCTACCTGAATAAATGATTCAAAAAGTTTAAATTTCTCCTCATACTTTTGCTGCAGGTTTATGTACTCAATATAGAAGATTCAAGAATGATACATTCTGGCTGGGCATAGTGGCACACAACTGTAATCCCAGCAGATCAGAAGGCTGAGGCAGGAGTATCAAAAGTTCAAGGTCAGCCTCAGCAACTTAGCAGCTTAGCAATAACCTGTCTCAAAATAAAAAATTAAAAAAGTTGGGGATGTGGATCAGTGCGCGCCCCCACCCCCAAAACATTCTGTTAGTCATTCATCTGAAGGGAGAGGGAAGACAGAGGAAGCCTATGTAATCAGTGGCAACAGAAGACAGAAAATATCTTTTAAGAAGGGATGGATTGGGAACTGGGATTGTGGCTCAGAGGTAAAGTGCTCGCCTAGTATGTGTGAGGCACTGGGTTCGATCCTCAGCACCACATAAAAGTAAAATAAAGGTATTGTATCTACCTATAACTAAAAATAAATTTTTTAAAAAAGGGATGGGATTAACAGACATATAGGGGTTTGTTAAACTAGTATTTATGCTTTCGTATAATATTTTATTATAAATACATATTTATAAGATTGTAATATATAATTCTGTATGATTTTTAATAAAACATTTTAAAACTGAATGGCACTTCTCAGATTATAGCTCCCCAAACAACACCAGAATGAACCCTAGGATTAGACTCCCTCACTCTTAGATAGTCTTTCCTAATTATTCTGACACAGGGTTGAGAGTGCAGGATAGATATTAGGAATATAAATATAAGCAGAACATATTCTCTGCCCTTGTGGATCTTAATAATGTGATGATTACTAAAAGGCAGGGATAGAGGGCTCTGATGACCACTGGGGCGCTAATTATTTTCTTCCCAGACTTGCAGAGCTAGAAAGACTTGAGTAGTGGTCCAACCCAAACCTATGGAAGCTTGAAGCTCTGGTCTTCAACTTCAGTTATCAGATCTCCTCATTCTAGCTTCTGCCTCCTAACCAATTGTTTTCTGATGCCCTCCCCTCTCCTGCCACCCCACAGAAAATTGTGTAAGAGAAAACATGGAAACCTGAAATCTTACAAAGTACTGGTTTTTAGGCATTCATTTTAATGTAAACCTGTATAACAGAGAACCCTGACTGATTTCAGATCAAGGATAGTCTACAGAAACAGTGTTGCTTCCTGGGGCTTTCCAGACTGTTCTATTCCAGGCATGTTTTCTTCTTTTATAATATACCTGAACCCATATGATAAAAGGCTTTAGCAAAGAGGCTAACACAATGGTCCGCAATCTCTTAAAGATATGGGCTGGAGCTGGGGCTGGGGATCAGTGTGGAGTACCTGCTTCACACGTGTGAGGCACTGGGTTCGATCCTCAGCACCACATAAATAAATAAAGAAAGATATTGTGTCCATCTATAACTAAAAAAACAAACAAACAAAAGATATGACAAGGGCTAGGGAGAGAACTTAGTGGTAGAATATTTGCTCCACATGCAGTAGGCTCTGGGGTTCAATTCCAGCACCACCAAAAAAAAAAAAAAAAAGGAACCACACCACTTCTCTAGTGTTAAGAAAATGGTACACTGAGAAACAAGAGTTTGTCATAGGAGAATGGGTGTTAGAAGCAGGGCATTTAACTCTGTAGGATGGGGTAAAATTTTGTGGTATGAGGCAAGGTTAAAGTACACTGATAGAAACATAGGAAAGGAATCCTATTTGGCTACTAATTTCCACTGCCATGGCTGATACTGGTAAGAGACTAGTTAACAACAAAACTACATGATATTTTATGTTCACATCTGTATCAAGAACTACTACTCTAGCTGGGCAAGGTGGTATACACCAGTAATCCCAGCTTCTCAGAAGATCACAAGTTCAAGGCTAGCCTGGGCAATTTAGCAAGACCCTGTCTCAAAATAAAAAATTAAAAGGGGTGGGAATGTAGCTCAGTGGTAAAGTGCCCCTAGGTTCAATCCCCATTACAAGAAATCAAAACGAAACCCTATCAATCCTATGTTTAAATGTTAAAAGAACCAAATTCAAATAATGTTTAGATTATTAATAGATTACATAAATGGCTAAAAATTGCCATTTATATCAATGTGTGTGTACACATAAACCTATACACTTGGATTTAATCACAGGTTCTAGTGGATAACTAGCTCTGTGGATTGGTCTATCTTCTTATAGATTCCTAATAAAGAGATTTTTTAAAAAAAATTAAACACAAAATGTTTTTAAAAGTTTTCTCGCAGACATGAATATATTTTAAAGTATACATTAATAGTCAGCAGAATTTCTATTAACAGCAAATACCATAAAACATGCTGCTTTTAATTTACAGTTGATAAAGCAGCCTATCAAGTATTCTTCCTTACACATTACATTGATGTACACTGTTAAAACTGACAGTCATTTTGTAAATGGTCTGAAACTTTTCATCTTATTTAATGGAGTTAACATGAAAATAAAGAGCACTTTAAAATCAAGTTATTGTAGTGAGACCAAAACATTTTATAAAATCTATACCTCTTTTTTCTTTTAAATTTGAATTTGACTTTAGTACTTTAAGACAGAGTTCACTTGCAGGATTACTGATTTTGATCTGGATAAAGCCCAGAAATTTATCTAATCCAGCCTCTTTCCTTAATTAGAAGAATGTGAGCTCAGAGATGAAATAATATAAGAACTATAACTAGAACCTGTCCTTGTCACTCAGCCTAGTGCTGTATTATACTCATCATTTTCAATCTTAATTCACAGTCTGGCTGTGAATTACAATATCCTTTCAAATAATCTTTCTTCCAACTCAATTTTCAGGAAAATGCATATTCCTCAATTAAAATTATCTTTCAGCCCAATGGATTCCTTGTTGAAGGTGTAACAACACCCTGTACTGGATCACTTTATTGCTATCATCAGACTCCTAGTTTGGGAGAACATACCATTCTTTTAAACGCCAGAATTACAACACCAATTTATTTAGCAAATTATACAGGTGAGTGGAAAAAGTGACCTGCCCAATTCTAGAAAAGGGTATGATACCAACACTGTCCCAATCAGAAGAAAAATCAGCTCTCTTCTCTTTAGCACTAGTGTAACAGGTCCCTGACTATTCTAACCCATTAAATGATGTGGTGGATGGGGGTCCCTTCACTGTCTTAGTTCATTTTTTTTACACAGTGAATGGAAGTCCTATACAATCCTAAATGAAATTCACATTTTGTTTTGAATTTTTTTTCAAGCTTATGATATGTGTGAGACATCAGATAAGCAATTTCCATTTTTCTCCTGTTAAAATAATAAAAAAAAAATGTAAAGCTCTATAAATTGAAACTAAACAGGTTGGAGTAAGTTCTTAATTACACACCTAGCCATTAAGTGCTTTGTCTTAATGCTGGTGGCAAATATCTAAACAGTACAGATTTTTCTTTAGGGTAGATGAAAGAGTGTATCACAATAGCTCAAACCAAAGAAAGTGTTTGTATTTTGTAAATACAAGTCAGCAAAGACAAAAATTAAGATGTTCATTTTCCAAAAAATCAAAGAAATGCACAATCCAAACTTTTACAAAGTCTAACTTTTCTGCAGAACTCTTCACTTTAGTTTATGGCAAAAGTCACTAGGTAGCACCTCTTCTTAGAATTACAATTTAGCATTTTCAACAAAATGATAACCTCCCCTTGCATAGAGACAACTACTATTAGAAATCACAGATGGCACTTGAGAACAATGACATACAAATTTAAATCAAGGTATAATATCTAACTGACTTCAGGAGACTATAACAGTTTAAAAATATTAAAAGTTAAAATAATAGAAAAGCAAGGTCAAACAGCAACATATTTCTAAACTGCCTTGTCATAATATTTTAAAATGTTATATTTCTTACCTGACACAATTCGTCCATAAATAATGCTTAGACTATTAATAATCAGATTACACAATGAAGATACTTGTCGAAATGCAATCAAAGTCATGTTCTAATATATCTAATGTTTCTTGGATCTTCAAGATTCAACCATGTCTAAGCAACATATAAGTCTACACTCGGTTAAAATTCAAAGTTACTTTATTCATTTTCAATTCACTATCTAGTTCCTCACATTTTTCCTTTAAAAAAAAAAAGTAAAAATTTACCATCACTTCTGAAGAAAACAAAGATGGAACCTTTATCCTGTACTTGGTGACACTGTTACATATGAAGCACAGAGACTATTCCGTAATGTTTCTGGGAATACTTTTGCCAAGACAGGCATATTGATCTACAGGACTAAAATCAAACCTCAGCTCACCAACTGATACCCCCAATTCAATGTTTACTCGGTAATCCAAGGACCTATGTTCTTACTTATTGAAAATCAAGTATTCCATGCTGAATCCAAAGCACTCAAATGAAAAATGTAATCTGACAACATAAGGAACAGTCCCCCTATAACTGTTTATTAGAATGAGAATATATTCCAAATCAATAACTAAAAAAAAAAAAAAATCAAGTTACAGAGCATGCATAAAATACAAAGTAGCAATTTACAGACAGACAGTAGTATCTTTATAACCAATACACTAAAATAATAAAATGGCTACAGAAGAGAACCAAAAATGACTGACTACAGCAATGCCTTCCGTGTGCTCCACACATCATGAGCACCGCAAAAGACAGAAAATTAACTATGAAACATAGCAATCTATGCAAGCCCCCACATATATATTTTTTCAGATATCCCATCATCCTGAATAGTATCACTGCAGTTGACAAGTTTCAGAAAACTGCAGAGTAAGTGCTTAATATTATCCACAAGGAAGTAAAACTAAATATTAGTGTGCACATTTCTGAATGAGAAACTATTTAGTTGCTCCATTGATTTCAATAATGTAGTGGAAAAAAATTATTTTAGGTCTCTACAATGCCTAAATGCATTCTATTTGAACTCAAGGTACTATTTCATTTTACGTACTAAAAGAATACATGCCTTTAAATGATACCACTTGAGCATAAATTACCTCCCTCTGTATTCTTTAGACACTAAAACCAAAGATTTAACTGGACTGTATTCCATTATACACTGTAAAATTCAAAGATAAGCATTGTTAAAACAATTACCCATGCCTGTTGGTGGATATGGTGATAAAACTAGGTTGCATTTCGCTCACTGGAAGGTTTTAAAACAAAATTAACACTTCAAAATTTGACACGTCCAGCATTAAACCTGTTATTGCCTAAGCAATAAAATGCCACATAATCTACTGCTGGGAAATGAGATCAGTTAAATGGTTTGGGCTGGTCACTGAAACAGAGGCACCTCAGTCTTTCTAGTTTCCAGCCTGCCAGGCAGCACTATTTAACTTATAGCTACATAACTGTACCCCTACCCAAACCATAACAGTCTTTTGTATTTATTAAGATAATTCTGGTCCAGAAAAAAGTGCCCCCCACTCCTATCAATTTTGATGCTTACAAAAAATTTTAAAATAAAGTTTACTAAACTACATAAACCTATTAAGGCATTTTAGAATTGACATACAGAATAATGGAAAACTTTCAAACTCTCAAAATCTTGCTATGTTTACAGGGCAATTCTTAGATTTGTCAAAATACACACTGCATTGAGAGAAGAGTGTATTACTTAAAACCTGCTCTGTGGCATAATAGCTTATTTCTAGGGTCTTCTTAGTTTGATTTGATCAAGACCAATAGGTCCAAGCATCAAGTGATCAGGTTCTACTGTGTCCTACAGTGACAGGCTTCCATGATGAAAAGTAAACAATAATTGAGGAATTCAAACATTCAGTTTATTAAACTAAGGCTAGTGAAGCCATAGCATGGAAAAAAAAAAAAGCTGCAGTCATTCGGGGCAAAGTGGATGATTTTATAAAGCTAAAATCAAAAGATTTAGGACATGGAAAAATTCATAAGTATGAGGAAGTAATGAAACACAGAAGTGACCACAAGATTTACAAATATATTTAAATCTCAGACCTGGGAAATGGACTATACACAGCCTTCTAGGGGAGAAGAAAAACGCCTTAGATGTTCTGACAGCACTGCACCTTTGGCTTGTTTTCAGTGGTTGGTGGAACATGAATAGGAACCACATTGTTGCTTGGAGACATGTCATTTTCACGTCTGTCTGACATTTGCTTCTGAGAAACAATACGGTATATCTCTGAATGAAGAGAAAAACCAAGAATACTTATTATAAATAAACCATAAAGAGTTGGTATAAAAGATACAGATAAAATATAGAACAGAGAACATATAAATTCAAAGTTTTATTTTCAAACAGCCACTGATTAGAATCAACCCATTACTGTAATAAGAGAAACAAAGGCTTTTCCATTTCAGAGGGGAAGGTTCACCAGTCAATCAAACATAACTTGGTTTAAAAAGCATTACACAATTTTTAGGCATAGGTTTGGATTAAATCATAAGAGTACTTTTGATCTACCTTTACCAAAAGAAGCCTATAAACATCGACATTGTGTAAATAAATAAACAAATCTATATTACCAGACATATCAGGTATCTTCCTAGGCTGTGTAGAGAAGAGCAAAACTTCATAAACATGCTTAAAAAAAAGACTCTTGGAAGAGAAGTAGGAATACTAGCGACCTCCTAAACTAAAGTTAAATTGTAATTAAATAATCATTCCAAAGAGGCAACTTAAGATTTTATATGCACTCTATTTTACTTTCATGACACTTACCAAGACTAACTGTTTAGTGTTTGCTTCCTTCATTAAACATTAAATTTATAAGAACTAAAACTGTATCTGTGAGGCAGATTGACTGAGCAGGCATTCACTGCTGTATCTCTAGTACATAGCATATAGTGGATGGTTGAAAAATAAAAAACTGCATGAATAAATGTAATTAAACTTCTCCACAGTGGTATCTGTATTTAATACATTTTATTTGGTCTTACTTTGACTAGATTATAAACTTCTTAAGAACACAGAATGTCTTATTTATCTTTGTTGTCCCAATGCTCCTTCCAAATAAATACCTTCAAAATGTAAAGAAATTTAAAAAATGGAACAAATTTGATATGATAAACCTCCTAATAAGATGTACTAGGAAGTATACAATGTATGCCTCTACAGAAACTCAAGTATTTTTGCCAAAAATGGGTAAAATGAATTTAGCCATGAGGAAACAAATAAATTCAGATTAGATGAGAATAATGTTCTATATCTGTACTGCCCAATAGGGTAGACACTACCATTTAAGTTAAATAAAATTTATATACCAATTTCTCACCCATGAGCCATATTTCAAATGTTTAGTATCAACCTATGGCTAGGGTCAATTCTACTTGATACCCCAGATATAAAACAATTCCGTCAATGTAATATGTGATTTTTTTAGTAGATTTTGGATTTTCCCAGTACCTCTCCTTATCCTTCCTCCTTCCTTCCTTCCTCCAATCTCCTTCCTCAGCTCTACTGGTCTCCCTTTTATTTTCATGAGGTCCTTATTAAAATTGGAGAGCATCGTTCTGAGTCTGGCTTATTCCACTCAAAATGATGCTCTCCAGTTCCATCCATTTTGTTCCAAATGACATGATTTCATTCTTTATGGCTGAATAAAACACCATTGTGTACATATACCACATTTTCTTTATCCATTCATCTGTTGATGGACACTGAGGCTGGTTCTATAACTTGGCTATTGTGAACTGTGCTGCTCTACATGGGCATGCATGTATCACTTAGGATGCTTTCTTGTAGAAAAATATCAAGAAGTGATATAGTTGGGTCATATGGCATTTCCATTCCTAGTCCTTGAGGAATCTTCAGAGTGATTTCCACAGTGGTTATACTAACTTACAATCTCACCAACAATGTATAAGTATTCCTTTCCCTCACATCCTCGCCAGCAGAATGACATGAAATCTCAGTACAGTTTTTTTTGTTTATTTTTTTTTAATGTGGTGCTGAGGATCGAACCCAGTGCCTCAAACATGCAAGGCAAGCACTCTACCACTGAGCCACAACCCCAGCCCCTCAGTATAGTTTTGAATTGCACTTCCCTAAATGCTAAAGATGTTGAACTTTTTTTTTTTCAATTTTTGTTGTAGTTGTAGATGAACAGAATACCTTTATTTTATTTGTTTATTTTTATGTGGTGCTAAGGATCAAACCCAGTGCTCACCCGTGCTAGGCAAATACTCTGCCACTGAGCCACAGCCCTAGCCCCTTTTTTCTTTTAAACCTTATTTAACCAATAAAAAAAAAAAAAAAAAAAAAAAAACCCTTATTTAATTAATTTATTTATTTAATATGATACTGAGGCTTAAACTCAGTGCCTCACACATGCTAGGCAAGCCTGAGCCACAACCCTGGCCCTGAATATTTTTTCATATATTTGTTGGTCATTAAATTTCTTCTTTTGAGGCCGGGCACAGTGGCACAAGCCTGTAATCCCAGTGGCTCTGGAGGCTTGAGACAGGAGGATCAGGAATTCAAAGCCAGCCTCAGCAATGGCTGTTTAGTTGTTTTAAGGAGAGAAAATGCTCAAGTATCTAGTACCAAAGTGCCATAATATTTTCAAATTACTTTCCAAAAACTTAAAGTAGGGGAAATATATACATGCATTAAGAGAGAAACCAAATGCGGCAACAATTGATAAATCCAGATGATTATGGGTAGTCACTATATTATCTCTGTAATATTTGAAGATTTTTAAATTATAAAAGATATGAAGGGCTAGGATTGTGGCTCAGCAGTAGTGCACTCGCCTAGCCCAGGCGGGACCTGGGTTCAATCCTCAACACCACATAAAAATAAAGGCATTGTGTTGTGTCCATCTACACCTAAAAAATAAATATTTTAAAAAAAGATATGAAGTAAAAAGTATATCTGCAAAATGATTTGAGAACATATCAACAAACTGTAATGTATGAATATCATTTGGAACCTAATTCAAACAGTAATAAAAAATTTTGAGTCAAAAAATTTTAATATTGTTTGAATAATGGATGATAATAAAGAATTACTGCCAATTTTTAATGTTTTGTTGTTGTTGTTGTTATGAGTTTAAGACCTAATCTTTTAGACACACATCCTGAATTAGTTAGGCACAAAATGATGTAATATCTGGGATTTGTTTGAAAATAATGGAGGAGGGAACAGGTGGAAGAAAGACTATGGCAAGCTGATAGTTGTTGATGGCTATCTGGGAGTTAAGATACTTTTCCATTTTCAATAGTTTAGAAAATTTCCATAAGAAAAGTTAAAGAAAAAGGAAAGAATTAATTGAATTCCTACATTTTTTTCAAATTAAGTAAGAGGGCTGGGGATATAGCTCAGGTGGTAGAGTAATTGCCTCGCTGCACAAGGCCCTGTACCACAAAATCAATCCCCAGCATCACCAAAAAAAAAATTAAGAACGAATTCCTCAAAGATTAACAATAGCAAACTGTCATCAAATCAATGCATAAACTAATAAGAGCACTGACAACTGCACAGAATGTACCTTTTCTTATGCTTTTTTTGGTGGGGTTGGTTAAAATTTAAGTCTGAGGGTGACAGTAGTTTAAATTTGAAGAAGTATTTGAGGAAAAAACTAGATTACAATAAAGACAAGCTGCTGATTAAAAGAGGAAAAAAAAACCATAAAGGAGACTGAGTCTTCATTCTTATTCTTTTTCTTGACAGGAAGAGATGGGATGGGAGGGTGTCAAAGGTAAAGAAAAGGATTTATCCTTCAATCATTCAATCGAGGCTAGTGAATAAAGATAATCATCAGCTTGTGGTTAAACCATACCATTTATTCTTTTTTTTAATTTTTATTTTTTAGTTATAGTCAGACACAATACCTTCATTTATTCTTTATGTTTTCTCTTTAATGCCAAACTACACAAGTCTTTTTTCCCCCCCAAGGGCAAATAATTAAATACATGACTCTTATATACGTTTTAACTTATTTTCAAGCTGTTTTGAAAAAATTAGGAGAACAAAAACAAAAACAAAATGCAGGTTCTTACTTAAAAGGGCAAATATAAATAATACCAAAGACAGGCAAAGGGAGACTTCTCAGAGAACACAGAGAAGTAAATAATTGAAGAGATCTCATTACAAAGCAAGAAATTTGAGCAGTGTTGTGTAACTGTCTGCAAGTACTACATACTTTTAAAAATGGATTAGTGCTGCATTTACTCCAGCAACTAAAAAGATATGTACTAATAAAAATACCAAAAAGCAATTAAAAACATTTGGAAATGTTGATCAGAAAATAAATTTTTTTCTTTCAAGAATAATCAGTTCTAAGAGGCTCTACAAGTAATTAAGTCTCTCCCAACTAGGTGTGTCATTTAAAAAAAAAAAAAGACTGATAAGAAAATAGGGAGGGCTGGGGTTATGGCTCAGCAGTAGAGCATTCGCCTAGCACGTGCAAAGCCCTGGGTTCAATCCTCAGCATCACATAAAAATAAATAAATAAAGTAAAGGTATTCTATCCAACTACAACTAAATAAATAAATAAATATTTTTAAAAAGGAAATAGGAAGCAGGTACTTACTAGCTGGTATCTGATTAGAGAAGGTTATTTCAGTAGGAGAAAGAGGATGTGACTAGTAACTTGCTAAAACAAAAAGCAAGTACTATATTTCCCTCTTTCAAGGGCACATTCTCATTTAGAACCAAATGAACATTTAAACTAATTCCTGTGCAGTCCCTTTTCAAAATGTATAAAAGTTAGTAAGAAAAGGAATCCTACTTTATCATTCTATCAGGATCTCCTATAGAAGATCCAAATTAAAGTAAAATATTAATATAAAATAGCTTTAAATATAACAAGGTAAAGCTAAATAAAAAAGACACATACCTATTTCTACTCTACTGAAAGTGTGGATTAAGTGTTAGTAATTCTAAGGAAGTAAATGCAACTATTCCAAATTAGGTGATGAGAGTTAAAATTCTTGAGACATGGGGCTGGGGTTGTGGCTCAGTGTTGGAGTGCTTGCCTACCATGTGTGAGGCACTGGGTTCGATTCTCAGCACCACATAATAAATAAGACAGTGTATCCAACTACAAACTAAAAAATAAATTAAAAAACAAAAAACCTCTTGACAATCTTCAAATATGTGAAAACAGAAACCTGCATTATTCTACTACAGTCTAGGTAGAGCTTTTAATTTGTTAGAGCTCTTCAAATTCATTGCTC